AGCCATCATTGTTATTTGAGTCCATCAGTCCCAGCCCCCTCAAAGGTGGGAAGGAAAGTTCTGAGCAACTTAAAGATAAGAAGGTACTTAGAGAGGAGAGGCTTGATGAGAAACTTGAAGATAAGAAAGTACATAGAGAGGAGAGGCTTGACGTACCCCCACCTCTCCCCTTGTACTACGTAACCCCTTCCCCTCCCAAGCTAATCCCAATGATTCAGCCTCTGTTCCTTTGCTTGCTTGCTGTTACAGCTTGAAACATTGTACTGATGAGCTGTTTTTCACCTTGAAGATGCATGTTTACCTCATTTAAATGAGTGTTTAAATCCAATAAAAATGCTAAATCTGTAAGCCAGTTTTCAGAGTCAAGTTCTGGCACAAATTTGGTTTTGCATAAACTACTTGGTAACATGTCACAAATCATAAATTCTCTTCAACATTTGGCCTTGACTTAGCCATCTTACTTCCAAGAAGTAAATGACGTCACCACAGTCACATTAATACTTCTTGGAATTGGTGATGATTTAATCCCTTGGCCTTTATGAAATTCATAGTCTTGATGATGATTTGCACGGTGTTATCTATTTTTTAAGCTTTTGCGCATACATTTTCTTGATGTATTTATGCAATGAAACTTCATCAAACGTGAGTTTGGGGTGGCAATTGCTATCATCTTCTCTTAATTTTATAAGTCCCTCTCTTTTACCTAGAATCACCAGGGTACCATCAGTAACTATAGCCCATATGTTGACAATGGACAAAGAGAATCGCTTTAGCTTATTTCTTACTGCTTCATATATGTCTCTTGATTTAGTTGTGTCTTTTTTTTCTTTTCCTGCAGTTTGTGGCTGGGGCCAGGTTCGAACCCACCACCTCCGATATATGGGGCTGGCACCCTACTGCTTGAGCCACAGGTGCTGCCCTAGTTGTGCTTTTAATGGCACTAAAGAAGCCATTTCTTCAGTGATACTATATTTGTCATCAATACCTGTAATAAGGCTCAGCGCCTGTGGCTTAAGTGGCTAAGGCGCCAGCCACATACACCTAAGGTGGTGGGTTCAAATCCAGCCCAGGCCCACCAAATAACAATGATGGCTGTAACCAAAAAATGGCCGGGCGTTGTGGCGGGCGCCTTTGGTCTCAGCTACTTGGGAGGCTGAGGCAGGAGACTCGCTTGAGCCCAGGAGTTGGAGGTTACTATGAGCTGTGATGCCATGGCACTCTACCCAGGGGAATAGCTTGAAGCTCTGTCTCAAAAAAAAAAAAAAAAAAACCTGTAATAAAAAGGCAAATTGAGTTCTATTTGTAGCATCAGTGCTGTCATCTATCACCAAAGCATAAAATTTTAGATTAGCAGCTTTATTCTCTAAACTTCTTTTGATATATTTTCTAATTTCTTCAATTCATGTGGCTATGGTCTTGTGAAACAAACTGATTTTAGAAATATCCTCCTTAAAGGCCTCAAGGGGGCCCTCAGTGAAGACTTGGTCATTTAATGGGGGCTCCTGGCTATGGGCCAGGCCCTAGGTCCTAGAGGAAGTAGGGGTGGAAGAAAGGGGACCATAGTGGGGCAGCCAGGATCCCCAAGGTTGCAGAAGAAAAGGGATTGTTTTGGTCCTCTGATTCTTGAGCTATGCCAAGGAGTATGATTGGGGGACCGGCCCACAGGAGAATAAAGCCAGGGCACGGTGAGGCCTGAGGGTCCCCAGACAGCACGTGGGCCTAGAGGCCAGGCTGGGGCAGGGATCCCGCTCCCCAGGGGGCGCCCAACCGGCCCTGGAGCAGGAGGAAGTAGATGGGGCGCCAAGTTGCCCGAGAGGAAGCCATGGGCCTGTGGGCAGGGATACTGCTGCTGGTGTTGCTGCTGGTGCTGGGAAGCCAGGGGAAGCCGGGTGAGCTCAGGAGTGCTGCGGCGGGCTCACTGTCGCAGTGAGCGGGACAGTGGAAGGGACATTGACACCACGGTGAGCACGGGAGCATTGGGAACGAGCTTACCTTCTTACCTCCATCCAGAGTCACAGGAGGCGGACCTGTTATTGCAGGAGGCGTCCCTGACCTCAGACACAGAGGGCACCTCATCTACTCCTGTCCCCACCACAGGTCCTAGGAAAACGGTGCTGCTATCATGTAACTGCTGGGTCCTGGAGGAAGGGGTGGGCCCTGTGGACCACGTGGGGAGGGTCACCTTCCTCTACCTGGACATAACCCCAATACGTGTACCAGAGGTCTGGGAGGGTATGGGGAGCCCTGGGGACCCCTGGGGTGGGGGGGGAGGCAGGAGGGCCTGCTGGTTCATATCTGAGCCTCGGGTCGGTCTGTCCATCCCAGGGCCCTGCGGCCACCGCGATATTCACTCCCTGGTGGTGGGCGGAGTAGAGACGGTGCGCGGGCGCTGGCCGTGGCAGGCCCTAGTGCAAGTGCCACAAGGCTACTTTTGCGGAGCAAGCCTGCTCAGCCGCCGCTGGGTGCTCTCGGCTGCCCACTGCTTCATAAAGTGAGTCTGGGGTGGGTGGGGGTGGATGGGGCCAATGACTGGATATCTTCTGAACCCCAGGCCAGGTTCCAACTGGCTACACCAGTTCCCTTTGGTATGCCTGGAGGGTGCCCTGTTCATATTTTTCCAGAATGTTTTCCCAGAACATTTCAACTCCTGTTTGGGCACATATTTTTGTTTTTAACACAGGTGGCACCATCCTCCACACTTTTGTCATTCCACCTCCAGGTGGATGTATACTATAGGTGTGCAAGACTAGGATGAGGGCCACCTGCTATGCACTGAGCTGCCTGTGGCCTAGCTCTCCCAGGGAAAGTGTGTTGACTTCACCCTGCTGGGCACCCACATTGCCTGGGTGCATCTGCTCCTCCTTCCTTGCAGCTGCATGGGGGTCCTGCTGGAGGGCTTGGCTCAGTTCAAGCATCCTTAGGTGGCTCTGTGAGCTGACAAGACTCCACCCTCCTGTTCCACCTCCCCCCACCTCAGTCCCCAAGTTCTGGGACTTTGCTTGTGGCTTCTCTGAGCTGTCCCATGTCTACAGGTACTATTGTACCCAGGAGGATTTGCTAATGGCATCCAGGATGAGCAAGTAGTAGCAACCCTACAGTCACATCATAGACTAGGTTCACAGGTGTGCTCAGGTGGCCAACTCTCCTTCCTGGGGCCCTGACTGTTCTCTCTTTTGCCAGGTACAATAATCCTTCCAAGTGGTGGGTACAGTTTGGTGAGCTGACTCTTAAGCCGTCCTTATGGAACCCTCGCGTCTACCTCAATCGATATAGGGTGCAGGATATCATTGTGAACCCCAGCTTTCATGACGGTCGCAATGACATTGCACTGCTGAGACTGGCCTCCTCTGTCACCTACAATAAGTACATCAAGCCCATTTGTGTCCTGTCATCCACCTCCATGTTCCAGCACCGGAAAGACTGCTGGGTGACTGGCTGGGGGGTGCTCAACGAGAATCAAAGTGAGGCTGGGGACAGATGGGGTGGGGGGGATGAAGGGTTGTGGTGGCCCGGGTATTACCTTCCACCTCTGTTCTGCCACACAAGAGTACCAGTTGCCTCATTGGCCTGGGGCACAGTGGGAGCCCCACATGCCAGCCTGCTCAGCCTCCTCTCCTCACTTGCTTTTCTGCTCTCACTCCCATCTGCAAGGATAGGAACCAAACACTCAGTTCTCTCTTCCTCCCAGGTTGTGAAGGCCAGAAAGAGAGTTGGAGAGGGAGGCCAGCCTGGCCCAGGCTATAGGCACGGAGGCTCTAGAGGTCCTGATGAACAAAGGCCTCAGGCGATAATTTTTTTAAATGGAAATTCAATTGACATTTAATTCCCAAAACAAAATTTTTTAAGTGTACAGTTTTAAGGTATGCAATTCAGTGACATTTAGTACATTCATAATGCTGTACAACCATCTCCACTATCTAATTATAGATTTTATTATCTCAAAATGGTGTCTCATACTCCTCAGTCATTGCTTTCAGTCCCACCATTTTTCTAGACACACGGTCCCAGGACATTCCATTCTGACATTCCATATAAGTAGAATCATATAGCATATGGT